AGCGCTGCGCGACCACGACAGCGCCCACCGAGTCGAGGCGGCCTCAGCCGCGCTCCTTTCCTCCCCATCGCCCTCCTGCCGCCGGCGAAGGCAACCCCCGGTACCTTCCATGTGCCCAGCCCCAGGATAGGCATCTTGGCCCCGGTGTTAAGCTGCACGCAGGTGGCCATGGCCGCGCAAACACCACTCCTGCCACCCCCGCGCCTTTAAGAGCGCCCGGCCGGGCCCGCCCCGCCCCGGCGCGGCCTTGTTGGGGCGGGGCCGGAGCTGAACCCGGAGCGCCGGGGGTGGGCGGTGGCGGCTTCGGAGTGGTTGTGTTTGGGGGCCCTGGGTTGTGTTTGGGGGCCCTGGGTTGTGTTTGTGTTTGGGGGCCCTGGGTTGGAGGGAGCGTTCCGCAGTCGTGCCGGCGCACCGACTGAGAGCCCTCCCGCAGCACCTCGAGCCTTTGGAGTTACATCCCCGGGATGGGGGTGATAAAGGAGACATGGCATAGAACTGTCGCCCTAAGAGCTGTTCGCGGGTTATGCGCCTCAGGATAAGGAAGGGCCGAGCCCTTTTGCTGGAGCAGCGTATCCCTGCCACTGGGATGGTGCCCTAGGCTGGTCCCTCTTATCGTCATCTTATGGCTCTGTGTGCCGATACAGTGAACTGACAGGAGAAAACTCGCTGTGTCTGGCTTGTAAAAGCCAGGAGAACCTATTCTTTGCTCTAAGTGGAACAAACGCAGCTTCCAGTGCAAACTGTGGCTTAGGAGTAATTTACAATATAGAGAGCTTAATAAAGAAGAGCTTTAATTTTGGAAGACTTTAAAGTGCTTTGAAAGTTGCAGATGAGGAACAGTGACTTATTTTCATGAGTGGCATAATGATCATATTGTCCCTCTGTCTTTAGGGACGTGCTGAGGACATTTCAGAATAAAATGCATCATTGTAATCACGTGTGTATTACAGCCCGGCTAGGAATACTGGAAAGTTCCACTTAGGGGCGCAAGACAGCTCGTAAGTCAAGCAAGAGTGAATAATTTATTAAGATGGCTCCCCTTTATATAAGGGAAGCAGTGAATTTGCTAGAACAATGGGTGTGGATATAACAAATATGGAAAGGGAAGGAGGGAGTTTGCCCAAACTAAGAAAATATGGGAGGGGTTACAACTTTACATGGATAAAGAGGGAAGGGTTACAACCATATAGGGAATCAACCAATGAGAAATCAGGATAAAAAGAAGTAAACAGTTTAAGGGAGTTTTTTACAAAAATTATGGGGTGTAATAAGTAAATTCTGTTTTAACAGTAACCCAGAACTCTAACTGTAGAGTCCATCATGTCTAAAGGTGTTCTGTGTCTCCAAAAATGTTCTGTGGGTAAAAACAGCATCTTAATCTTCAGTTGACTTTTTCAGGGCTTCAATCCATTTTCTATATCGCTCTTCTTCCTTTTGCCCATCTTTCACAGTAGTGGCCAGTGATCTCACATCAGAAACTGGCTTTGACTTTTTTGCAGACAAGCATACACTGTTCTGCTAAAGAGGTCACAGTGCAGTGGAAAAAAACAGACTTGCCTGGGAGGCTTTGCTGCTTATTCACATGTAGAGAGTTTTTTCAGGTGTGAGTGTTTGCTCTGGGTGCCTCTCCCTGCAGCTTTATATTTTTTGCTTCATTTAACTAAGGAGGGGCAAGTAATTGGTTTTCCTCTTTAATGTTCTTCCTGTTTAGTATCAGCACATCAGCCATCCCTGGCAGAATGAGATGTGTCTTTTTTACCTGTTACACAACTTGGTGCTTATCTCTTTAGGTTTGGTTTTCCCTGACGGTTTCTTGTCAGGGAGATGCTTCCATCTTTTTACAAGAGGCTTCAGGTGGAAGTTCAGTCTTTTGTTTTTGCTGTTAGCTCTTGTGAGTGGGAGCCTTTCCCCTCACTGCTGCAAGAAATCAACTTTCCATTGTTTACCTCTTCCAAGGGCCTTGGGGGAGGAAGAAGTATTGCACATGTCACTGTGTGACAGCCAGCCTGCTAAATCTTATGCTCTGTGTCCTTGACAACAAGGCCAACTATTTCTTTACACTGAGCTGGCAATGAGGAACTGTGCAGGGGAGGAGGAATTTTGTTGCCTACTTGGTGGTTTTTGTTTGTTTGGTTTTGGTTTTTTTTGTTTGTTTGTTTTTGTTGTTGTTTTTTGTTGGTTTGGTTTTGTTTGGTTTTTTTTGGTTTATACATGTGTGAGGTTTTGCACTGAAACAGGATGTGTAGTATCATGAGTTTTCAGCTTGTTTTTCTGACCTTGCATTTAGTTACTGTAATTTCACCACAATTTGTGTCTTTGGAGACCAGCAGTATTTGGAGTCTGAGAAAAGGACCCAAAATAATGGAAGTGGGTATGTTCTTGTGAAGGTAGTCTTTACTAGAGACCCTGGTGGCCTGCAGAAAAGGCACAAAGGAGGGAGGAGACAGAGTTGCAATATGCAATGAATCTCTACTCCTGACGTAGAAAGCTGTGAAGGTCTGCAGCTTCGGAAGTACCAACATATACAGGCATAGCTTAAACCAGGGTCTGGAGGTGAGAGCATGTGGATTTCAAGCTTGAATCCCTGGGAAATGAAGGAGCGTCTTTAAACGGGAGATTTGTATTGCTCTGTGGGGGACTCCAGTTCAATCTCTGGATGCCAGGAGGCAGATCTGAGGGGCTTGGCTGGCCCTAACTGTAGAAGACCTCAGCCTCTTTTTTTACTCTGAACTCAAATCGATCTAGGAGTGTAGGCAGTGGTGACCTGAGTGGAGACCATGAACTACTCAGTGCCAGCCAGAAGCAATTCCAGCTACCACTGAAACTGGTATAAACACCGTGTCTCATGCTGGAACTTAGTCCCACAGTGCTGTGACTTAGGAACACTCCTGGAGACACAGGTGCACTGTTTGAAGGAGGTCCATTCTGAAAAGGCTTACTTCTGAGAGGATGGCAGCTGCTGGATGATTCATGCTTGAACAAGGAAACTATGGCCACTGGGTAACTCATGCAGGACAAGTAATGCACTGAAAAGACAGTGGTCTAAACCTCCGGCTCTCCCTGCATCATAGTAAGCATTGTACCTTTATTGTTCAATAAAAATATGTATTTGATCTCAGTAGAGCTCTCTCACCTCAGCCTGGGGCTTGCTGAGGGGTTTATGGGTTGCTTCATTTAGGAAGCTGCAAAACAAATGTTTTTGGGTTACATTTTCATGAATTCAAAATGGAACTTCTGGAAAGAAGGTCCTAAGGTGCTTGTTTTCCCTTGAGACCCAAGTGCAACTTCTAAGATTATGCATTTGTTTACATTCCCAGTAGTAGGAAACAGAAAGGTGACACAGCCACAAAATCAAATACCTCCTCATCTCACCCGGTTTTGTAAAAGGAGCCTCGATTGTTTTAATGTCTTAAATTTGAGTGTCAGGTGGAAAGGAGATTTGGGGATCAATTCCTTGAGACTACTCTACGTGTGTGCCCTGTGCCAGACAGGCTCCACAGTGGGTATCCATGCCTGTAGAGTGGTATGGGCAGCTCAGGTGCTCAGCTCTGCTATCACTGGGTTGGCTGGGATCTGCCACGGGGAGAGAGGTAGAGGGAGTGGTGGGCATAGGACTATGGGGGGGCAGGGGGCGCAAGCCCCTGATGCTGCAGTGCTGTGGGAGGGCTTGGGGTCCCCATCTGCAGCCCGAGGGCTGTGGGGCCAGGGCAGCAGTGGGATCGGGGGACTGGGCTGAAGAGAGCTGCCAGAGGAGATGGATGGAGCTAGATGGGTCATCATCCCCGAGCTAGGTACCTTGGGCTCACAGCAGTAGATGCTGCCAGGTAAGTTCGCCTGCCAGGGAGGCTGGCAGGGCCAGTGGGAAGGCTAGCCATCTGGGCTCTGCATTGAGGGGCTGAGCCTCTCTTGCCAGCAGATACAGGGGTTTCATGTGACAGCTGAAATGTCTCCAGCACCACCAGGGCTGAGGCCGGCAGGGAGGGGACAAGGTGAGTCACTGAGGGCTGGCTGCCCTCTGGCGCCTGCTGGAGAACGTGCTGAGGGGCTGTGCTGTCCTAGGGAAAATCCACACATTCAGGAGAAAACCTGAGGAAAAATACTGCCCACTGAGCATATGTTTTCTGTTTATGGATTATTATTTTTTTTAAGGTAATAAAAACCCTTTTCTCAGTTAGTTCTGGAGTGATAAAACTTCTGGTATCTCACTCATCCTGAGGAAGTGAATCTTTAGTTCACATTTCTCAGATTTTATTCCAATGCTCACAACTGCTGACTATCTCCTTAGCCAGATAAAGCAAGATAAAGTATATATGTGAAGGAGTAGTTCAAAGTCTCTCCTTTTTTTCCTCCTTAATAATTCCTCATTTTGAAAGAAAATTATTACACCCCACATTTTATTATTTTAGAACAATTTTACTGTATCTTTCTTTCAAAGAGAACAAACAAAATATAATCACTGAATATATATACTGTGACTTCATTGCTGCAGGAGGAGAGATGTAATAAGAAAGCTAGATAAACCGATAGGAAGAATATCAAACCAAGCTCTGAAGGAGGGCAAGATATAACCACCTTCAGTATTCTGCATTGAATGGGTAGTCCTTGTGAGTTTTGGCCCTGAAGGGAAAAAAAGACTTCATTTTAGCCATAATTTTTCTCCAGTATATCAAGCTCTAGTAGTGCTTAGAGAAGTGACCAAGGCAGGATCTGAACTTTATAACTGTAGAATGATTTTTTTTTCCCAGATTTGTTTTCCTGTACACTTGGAACATCCAAATCACTCCATCATTGAGGCTCTTGACATTCAAGGCAATATTTAGATGTAAAACCTCTGTGTAGTAGTATATTATAGTGTTCATTATTTAAGGTTTGGAAAAAAAACAAATACTAAATGCTACCACTTACGTGCTCATTGTATAGACTCTCCAGTTTCTGTTAAAGCTGAAAATAGTTGCCATCTCCTCTTTAGTCAGGTTGAAGTCAAACACCTAACAAGAGAAACAGCTGGAAATCATTTCTCTGAACAAATCAGAGAATGTAAGCAAAATCTACAAAATTAAAGAACAAGTCTAAAAGGGAGGGGGGCTGGTTAGAAGAAATTACTGTTTCATGGAAGAGAAAAAGGCATCTCTCTGTATTAGTAAGAGTGCATTAGCAGAGAAAATTAAAAAAAAAAATCCGAAGTTGCAATTATACATGCCAGCTGTTGCAGGACACTTGGAAAGCACTTGCATCTGCCACTTGTGCATCTTTCTGTCCTAATCCAAAGGAACATCAACAAGACTATCTATCAGTCTATCTATTTTGAAACCCTAATGATCAGTTTCAGTCAATTAACAATGGAGCAACACAGTTCGTGGACACCAGGACTATTTTCTTAATGCAAAGCCTTTTGTAGTGTGCTACTGCACTCAAGTGCCAATCCAGCACTATGTGCCAATTCATCTGCAGAACAGGAGACACCATGTAAAGTGACTGCTAAAATTATCAGCATACTATTACCTAAACTTGGTTCATTCCTGCTTTTCAGTTGTAGCCTTAAATGTAGCCTCAGTAGAGTGTGTAGGTAGACAGGCAAAAACTCGTTCTCTTGTCAGAGGAGAAGCTGGGAAGTAAGATATGCAGGTATCCCCAGAAATGCCAAGGCAGTGGAAAGAATTTAAAAATTTGTTTAGAAGGCCAGAACAGAAGAAACTTACAAATACCTGACAGTGCTATTTAAGCACCAGGCCCCAGGGAGAAAAAGGCAAGTTCCCACCTTCTCCAGGGCCTTTAATATAGTTTCTGTTTCTCTCTCACCTTCCTTCTGTTAGGGTTATCTCTCTCCGGTATAGAAGAAGAGAGAGATAACATAGCTCTCTCTGAACCCCCTCTGGACTACAGAAGGGAAAAAAAAAACATCTAACCCTCTTGAAGGCACTTTGCAGGCTTCCTAAGTGAAAATGAGTTTCTAGCTTTCCCATTACCAATTCTTCCAAAAGCACAACTATTCCTACAAGTGAGAAAGGATCTCTGTTTGCTGTGCAGGGAGAAGCCACGCTGTCCCTGAAGGGCAGCACCCAACTCACTCCTAATCCCTCACCTTGAAGTTCTCCACAATGCGCTGTGGTGTGACAGACTTGGGAATCACAATCACATTTCTCTGGATCTGGAAGCGAAGGAGGACCTGCAAGAACAGAATCAGAAAGAGGATGGTTCTTGCTCTGATGGAAGCAGAGCCTGTTCCAACAGTCATATTCCCTAAGATACACCCTTTTCTGCAGAGCTGCATTTCAAGTCATTCCTGTCAAGGCAATCCGTCCAGCACTGCTTGGAGAGCAAAGAGGGAAGTGGTGGAGGCCTCCATGGAAGACCACCTTTCCTATTCAGTTTAGGGACAAACAAGTCTTTTCTTACCCATCCAAGCCTCTATCAGGATTTCATTCTCTGTAAAAGAATTTGAGATGAAGACTGAAACATTACAGCATCTGAAGATGGTTCAAGAAAACGTTTCTTGTTGACAGTCAGAGGACACTTGTACTGCAGGTCACACAGTAAACAGATCTGCACTGCTACCTAACACCACAAGTGACAGGGAAGGAAGTGCCACCTTGTCCTCTACATTGACATTAGCTGTCCTGTGTTACAGGAACGGATACCCACTGTCTGGAATCTGTGTACCTGTGCTGTGGATTTCTTGTGCTTGGCTGCAATCTCTTTGATCTTGGGGTCATCCAGAAGGGAAGGATCCTCTGGCTTAGCCCTACACAGGGGAAAGATACTTAGTGTCTCAGTACTTCAAACATAACCCATACCAGTTCCCTTGCAAAACAATCTTACCATGGTCTGTCAGGAGAGCCAAGGGGACTGTATGCTGTCACAGCAATCCCTTTGGATTGACAGTAGTTTACCAGCTTCTCCTGGGTAAGGTATGGATTACATTCGATCTACCAACAGAAGGGTATAAAGATTAATAGCAGTACAACTGCTGTAACTCACTCCAGGCATTATCTCCTAATGCTCTTAAAGGTTGATATTTGTCCTCATGTGTTTGACTTCGAAAGGTATTATTCAGTCTTAGTTTTCTGCAGCACCTATCTTTACAGTGAGATTTCTTGTATCTCTGGGTTATTGCTCAGGAGAAAAAGCATTTCATAATACCCTTGAGTTCTTTGGCCCCAGGAAGGCACATTCTGAGATGAAGAAGGGAGTAGCTTTGTGTGCAGACAAAAACTAGGTAATTTTTTTGATATGTGTATATATACACACTTTATTTTTTATTTTATATAAATAAAAAAAATCTCCAGGGCAGGTATCAGGAAGCCACTGCTTCTGCACAACAGTTAAAACTGACCATCCTTTTCTAACTGGGTAACTCAGTGAATTGTGCATGCCTGCATGAGAGGAAACGGGTTGTGTGAACAATTATCTGCTATTAGTAAGAGATAGGTCATCACTAATAACAGAACAAGTACTGTATTTTAAGAAGTTCTTGTTGTAATTTGTGTACTACAACTTCATTCCCTATCTGGACACAGTAGATCTACAATATCTTTATGTATACCTAGAAGTAATCAGAGGGTGTTATTGTGCTGTGTCTATTTTCTCCTCCCCCTTGCATTTCCTCAAGCAACTGTAATCAGATCTTCATAATCCCTGAAAGAACTAGTCACCTGAAGTCACTTTGCAGCTTACCTGGACATTTGCAGGCTTGTGCTTCAGTCCTGGCTTGTTCAAGATTCTTTCAATCTGCTCATGGTTAAAGTTGGAGAATCCAATGGCTTTTACTAGGCCACAGTCCACCAGCTCTTCCATGGCCTGATACAAAGAGGAGCAAAGTCAACATCCAGTATGCAAGACAAGGCCTGAAGACACTATTCCTGGTATGTCTTTGTTTGCCCTCACGGGAAGGGAAAGACAACTATTTGGAGTTGCAAAGTTTGTCTCTTGGGGGAGAGTGCACACTGGTGTATTTGTGCCACGTCTTCTATCTCACCCAAACCCAAAGGCTCCTTCTTGAGATGGCAGAAATTCACACTAAGTCACTTGCACTTGGAAAATAATGATAAACAATAATGTGTTGAGCGAGCACCAGGGGGCTGTACTGCAGCTGTGGACAAAATCACAAACTAATTTACTTCAGCAAAGTTTATTTGAGCAGTTTAAGGGTGGTGATAAAGACAGTTCTGTTTCTGTTATGGTCAAGCAATCTGGTCTGCAGCTCTGCTGAAGATTATCAGCTCCACTAAGCATGTATGTTTTAAAAGAACAACACTGTATACAGTCTGATAAATACATAAGAACTTTGTGACTGCTGAAGGTTATGAAAGCATTGAAAAGACTGCCAGTGACAGAAAACATGCTTCTCTCACTGTGACTGAACTTACCTCCCATGTATCTAGAAAATCGGCGTTGCTGGGTATAGACATGCCTTTGTCATCTGTGGGGAACAGCTCTTCTCCTGCCTGTCAGTGAGAGAGAAAATGCTTGAAACACTCATTATTGGGAAGTTAATAGCAAGACAACTGAAGACAACATTAACTTTAACTACTAGTACAGAAAATACTAATATTTGTCTACATCATTCATGCAGGTTTATGGTCTTTTGCCAGCAACCATTCCTAGTAGGAGGGACAGGTCTATCTTCTGGATGAAGTAAAGTAGTGAGTCACTAAAACACATACAGATAAACAAATCACACCACTTGTGGAACAAATTGGAACAAGCTTCCTGTACTCCGTCATGCCTTTAAGAGAGAACTGTTTTTTTGAAGGACCTGTTAAGGTCCCACAAAACATTTAAGTCAGGTTTAGGGTGAGCCACTTCTGCTGAAAAATGTATTGTGTAAACACACAGGTCTCTCATGAGGGGAGCCTCAGTTTAAATTAGTGGCACTTGGAAAATCAGAAAATCCCAATATTGCTCCACATCTAGTGTTGTGCAAATATCAGAGTATTAAGGTCTTTGTTCAAATAAAACCTACCATGACAGCTTCGAAAGTATGACAAACAGTTGACACAGTCTAAAGCAACAGATAGGATGAAGGCCTTAATCTGTCTTTTAGTAGCAGAAAGGAAATGCCAAGACTAGACACAGACTGAGACATCAGCTCCTTTAAAGTATATGAATTATAAGATGTACTTTATGTACTTCTGACATGGATGTCAAAAATATCTCACCTTTTGAAATTCAAGGTCTGTGGAAGAACTTTAAGACTCCTACAGCAAATGTCAGCTCAACCTCTACTATATTAAGGACTCAGTGATTAAAGAAAGAAATGGAAGACAGAAACAGTCTGTTGTTCTGTGATTCTGTAACATGCAAAAGAAAGAATTTCTGTCAGGTAGCAAAGTACAGCCTTCCTTCCCACAAAGCAGGGAAAGTTGATTTAGCCGAAAGTAAAGCAGCACAACTCAAGCTTGCAGCTGGGACATCTGATCTTAGTGCTAGGTTTGCCTCTGTGTTATCAAAAGGGCAGAGGACGCTGTGCAAGCTGCAGTCTTGGGGGCAGAGATCAGGAGCGCAGCTGACGTGGGCAGAGTAAAGCTGAATGGCAGCACCGGCACAGTGCTGGTACGCACCAGACACCTGCTCTTTCTGGTGCTGCAAGTGCTACTGGCAGTTTTGAGCAGCTCTCCCAGGAGGAAAATCCAAGGGCATTGATGTGGCTGTACCTTGAACCCAGTAGGCCAGTGCATGAGGTAGAGATCCAGGTAATCCAGTTTCAGGTCGGCAAGAGTCTTCTGGCAGGCTCCCTTCACCAGAGGCTTCTCGTGAAACGTGCACCACAGCTAGAGACAAAAAACAAGGCACACTGTAACCTCCTGGGTTAAATATCTTGGAATCCTTCTGTACTGTTCCAGCAAGAACCTGTTTCCTTTGGAAGGTGGTGTGGAATTAGGCCACCCTATTGCTTTTCAGATGGGGCTTGCTCTGTAAGCAGGACTGGGCAACGGCCACTGATATCAAGGGCAGTATGTGCTGCGGTGGCATGTGTGATCAAAATGGGTTGTAAACTAAAAACCGATCCTGTTCCATTAGTCAAGATATGCAAAAGCCACTTATTACAGGCAGATATGGGTTAAAGAGCTCTTTTTAAATTAATAGTTTCAGTGGTGAGCCAAATACAGAATTTCCATCAGAAGCAAGGAAAACCAAGGCCACTTTCTGAGACCATTTAAGCTTAACACATACTTTGAACAATCCCATGAAAATGGTGAATGTGAAGCATATATTAAATAACTCTATACAAAATACAGTGACAAAAAGCAGCTTTCATCAGTATTGGCCTGAACTATGCTCTGAATTACTCCATGCTATACCACACGGCCTTTCCCCCTGCTCTGAATTTCCCTCTTCCCTTGGATCCTAGGTCAGTATATCTTTACCTTACTGACGATGAAGAGGTCTTCTCGTTTCACAACACCTTCCTTGATTTTCTGCTGGATCCCTTCCCCAATTTCACTCTCATTTTGGTACACGTAGGCGCAGTCAAAGTGGCGGTACCCGGCATCGATGGCAGCCATCACTGCAGCTTTTACTTGCCCAGCTGCAGACTGAAAACAAAAGGTTAAGATCGCATATCAAAGCATACAGACCATTTCCTAGTTACTTGGTAAAGAAACACATACAGTGGGGTTTTAAGTAGAGTTCATCCATGCCATGTTCTTAAAGCCAGATTCATCTTACAAATGCAAGCTGATGGGTTTGAAGCCAGCCTCCAGCCATTTAAATATTGCCCCAGTCCCATGCAGACTCAGCCCAACAGCCAGGTAGAGCAGAGCCCCCAACACCAGGACAGCTTGCCAGAATAGGACCAGGGGAACAAGGTTTGTGCCAGGGAGCTCTGAAGTGCCTTTCACCTAGCAGTCCTCACTTCCCAGTGCTGTATCTAACAAGAGAAACAGTCAACAACTGCCCAGCTGGGGAGGGCAGCAGTCTACACCTTAGTCATCCACATCACCATGGAGTATTGTACCATGCTCTAGCCCAGCCCCTGCTGGGCACATCTCACATGTAATTTGAAGGTTACATCAGCTGCTTCTTTCAGAGACAGAAGAGACGTGCATTTCTATGTTCTTCTATATCTTGACAGGGGTAAGAGCTGTGCACAAAGAAATGCTGGCATATATCTTGTTCATACAAATTTAGCAATGTTTGTTTTCAGGCATTGTATAGGTCACTGATTTTGCAGTCATTGTAACAGCAGTGCAAACCTCTTTGTCAGAACTTGCTTGAAACGCATGAATTGTCTTCTAAAGCCGTATCATATTATCAGAGGATTCCTAGTGACCTCGCCCAGGATTGAAGTTACTCAGCACTGAAGCAGCAAACGAAGCAAGCCGAGTGCCCCACTGCAGCGGCACGGAAGCCTTGGCTGCGGGAAGGGCTGGGGAGCAGCAGGGAGAGGGGCCCGGCAGACCGCAGCCGCGGGAGCCTGGCCGGGACGGGAGAGGATGGGATCCGCGCATCCGCGGGGGCGACGGGAGGAGGGGAATACGTGAGGGAAGGAGTCGACTTTCCCAGTCCGGGCAGACCCAAGAGTCAACTCTCTCCCATGGCAGGAGCAGGACGGCAAGGGCGGGGGGCACGCTAGGGAAAACAGCTTCAAAAGCAGCGTGGGGCTCTGCCTTCGGGGACGACCGGAGCGAAGTATCCTTAGTGGTATCCCGAGCTGTCGGGAACACCGACAGCGCTGCGCTCCGCCCCGGGGTGTCAGTGGGGACGGGTCATCGAGCTGAAATGAGCCAAGCTGCCCCCGCTTCATACACAATCCAGAGCGCTCCGGACCCCCCCGGAGGAGACTGCACCGGGTGCAGACCCAGCCCTGCTGAGAGAAAGGCACCGCGGCGCGACCCGGGGGCACCGCCCAGATCCCCGTTACCTTCCATGTGCCCAGCCCCATGACGGGCATCTTGGCCCCGGTGTTGAGCTGCACGCAGGTCGCCATAGCTCCTTCCAGGAACGCTGCTCGGAAGCGTCGCCGGCCGAGCCATTTAATGACGGCCGGACCATGCCCGCCCCGTCCCAGAAGCCGCCCCCAAGGGACAGGCACCGCCCTACGGCCGCCGGGACAAGGACCTGGGGAGGGGTTAATGCGGCGTCTCCCCGAGGCCTCGGAGCTGCTCTCTCCGCGAGTGTGGGCTGTGAGCCTCGGGATAAGGAAAGGGCTCTGCGCCCATGGGCTGGAGCAGCGTGTCCCCGCGGCAGCGATGGTGGTCCAGGCTCTTGCAGAGCTCTAATAGCGTCTGTGTGAATCTGGAGCTTTCAGCTCTCAGCGCCTCTCGGAAAGTGGGATAATGCTTGCGGTAACAGGAGAGGAAAAGTGAGCTGCTTTGTAGGAGTAAATTAGAAAGCAGTGAAATTTAAAGAAGAATATTATTTTTAGTGTTGGGAGAGGCGTCTTGCAATGTTTTTTGAAGAACAGAAGATGTTACTAGGTTAAGGCCACCTAAGAAACTATGCCGATTGTTCCTGCTTGGCGAATTTACTTAGGTGCAAGCATTGTTTGGAGTATTATGGTGCATTTTTCTCTGTGTGCCTTTCCCACAGCAGATGTCCAGCTGTTTTGTAGCTATTTTTTTTTTTTTTTTGTCAGCAGCATCAGCCATCCTCAGCAGGATGTGATGTTTCAGTTACAAAATAGTATATAATGCAGTGTTTGCATTTTTTTTTTTTTCTTCTTTCTGGATTCCTTCCCTGTGAATTTGTTCTGAGCGTACTCCGACTCATGGGGTTTGATTCAGGGGTCAATGAAATCAATGGAAAGATTGTGATACTAGGAGTACTGATGACAGTATTTACAGAAAGCTGTTTACATGGGAGGCCTGCTGCCATCCTAGACTAGGGGGTTTCACACTTTTGTCCTTCCTACTGACCCTCCCTCAGTTCAGAAAAATGGACATTTTCCATCTGCAGAGCTGTAGGGAAGTTCTCTGTGCCAGTCATGGCATTGTGTCTGGTGGGCATTCCTGGTAAGCATTGCTGATGGTGGGCGAAGGACTGGAGCTAAGAGGGGCAGAGCAGCTGCATGGAGTGCATGCTGTTAGAGAGGTGGACTATGTGGTGTTAGATGGGCTGAGAGATTTATTTTCCATGCCTTGGTCTTAATTATTAGCAGAAGTCATGTGGAGACTTGTCCTGACAAAGACTGTTGCCCTTCACAGAAGGCACTCTATTCTGAAACTTAATTTTGCTGATGACTACTAAGGTTTATGCAATATGCACTTTACAATTCTTTTTTTTCAAAATAAAATGATGAGTCATGCCTGTGATTTGGTTTTTCAGGGCAAATACCAGATTGCCTCTGCTCTCCTATTTCCTGAATGCTTAAGCTAGTGTTCTGCTTTGACTCCAGATGTAGAAAGTCTCAGTGTAGAAATTACCAGAATCTATCAGATTTTTGTGTTGCTTCTGCTACAGCCTGTGAAGGTGGGTGCTTTCTCCAATGGTTTCTTGAATAAGAGGTGTCTCTGTCTTTTAAGAGAGGATTTAGGGCAGAAGGTTTGCATTTTGCTTTGTTGTGCCTCTTGGTGTGAGTCTTTGCTTAGATCATGCCAAGACACGGGACCCATCAGTTGTTTCTCCATCCTGAAGGTGTGTCTGGGGTTGTCAGGTCATGGCAGGGCCTTTAGGAAGGAAGTATTGTATTTGTCAGTGGATGACAACCTGAAATGCCAAGCTATCAAAACACCTGCATCCTCCACTGGAAGGGAGAGGCTTTATCAGGGGAAAGCTTTATTCATTCCAGTAGTTACAGTTAACACCAACCTGTCCCAGTTACTGTGTCAGTCAGTCAGCACAGAATAGCCTGGAGAGAACCTAACACTCCACTGTCAGACTCTGTAACACATTTCAGTTCCACCATGCACCCCCTGCTTTTATGCAGCATCCCACACCTGCTTAACACTGTCTCCCCTCTCTCCCCAGTCTCTGTTACTCTGCATTTTTAATAGCTAGTTATCAGCACAGTATACCAACCAAATCAGTCCACAGTGATACCACTGTACAGTTTTCCAGCAGTTTCAGGTGTTGACCTCCTATTGCTTGTTGATCTACCATCCACTAAGGCTTTTTTGTAAGTAAATTGTCATATTCAACTGTTCTTGTCAGCACTGCTCTGTCAATCACAGCTTATTATACAAAGTTATTCAACTTTTGATCAGGACAAGATCTCCATGCTCTTGTGATATCATTTAAAATTGAATAAGGATGAGTGCTGGGTTAAGGACTGGCTGATGGCAGGGCCCACACAGTGGTGGGGAACGGGGCTGCATCCAGTTGGCAGCTGGCACTAGTGGTGTCCCCCAGGGATCAGTGCTGGGCCCAGTCCCATTTAATATCTTTACTGATGATCTCGATGAGGGAATTGAGTTTACCATTAGCAGATTTGCAGATGACACCAAGTTGGGGGGTAGTGTCAATCTGCTAGAGAGTAAGAGGGCTCTGCAGAGAGACCTGGACAGGCTGAATCCAACTGTATGGGGCTCAGCAGGGCCAACTGACTCCCGACTGCTTGGCAAGTGGCCAGGCAGAAAGGGACCTGGGAGTTCATTGATAGGAGGCTGAACATGAGCCAGCAGTGTGCCCAGGTGGCCAAGAAGGTCAATGGCATCCTGGCATGTATCAGGAATAGCATGGCCAGCAGGACCAGGAAAGTGATTCTGCCCCTGTATTTGACCCTGGTGAGGCCGCACCTTGAGTACCGTGTCCAATTCTGGGCCCCTCAGTTGAAGAAAGATACTGAGGTGCTGGAGCATGTCCAAAGAAGGGCAATGAGACTGGTGAAGGGTCTGGAACACAAGTCCTATGAGGAGCAGCTGAAGGAGTGGGGTTGTCCAGCCTGTAGAAAGGAGGCTCAGGGGAGATCTTATCACTCTCTACAACTACCTGAAAGGAAGCTGTAGCCAGGTGGGGGTTGGTATCCTCTCCCAGGCAACCCAGCAGTAGGACAATAGGGCACAGTCTTCAGCTCTGCCAGGGAAAGGTTAGATTAGACATTAGGAAGAAGTCCATTGAAATGGGCTGCCCAGGGAGGTGGTAGAGTTACTGTCCTTGGAGGTATTTGAGACTGGGTGTGGCACTTCGTGCCATGGTAGAGTAGACAAGGTGGTGGTGTGTCAAATTGGACTCGATGATCTCAGAGGTCTTTTCCAACCTAGTTGATTCTGTGATTATTTTCAATGACATTGCTCATGCAAGTTGTTGCTTGGTTTGTTAATTTTCACATTAGAGTAAAACTTCCAAACGAGCAGTAATCCAAACATTTTTATTTTGGTTAACTGTGTCCAGTTTCAGCCTGTAAAAAAAACACAACTGAATTAAGGCCCAGTATGAGTTGGTATGCATCTGTAGGTTTGGACACTTCTCCCATTTATTCTTCACAGAAAGCTTTGGACTGTGCTCTAGAAGTAAAATTAATTGTTGTCTTTTGTCTTCAGGCAGCAATTATGTAGTTCATTCTTTCAGGATGGATCTTTCTTCTGCGTTCACGTATCTTTAACCCTGCAGCCTTAAGTGGTATTGATGCAAGACAGAAAATAAAATCAGTTGCTAGGTTATTCTGTTTTCTGCTTTACTCCTTCAGCCATGCAGAGACACGCATCGAATGAGCAGAGGATTATTGCAGCCCATATTTTGTTCTCCAGAACAGCTTTACTATTTTGTTCCACCAAAGAAGAAAAACCCAAAGTCACTGAATACATATACTGTGCCTTTGCTAGCAGGAGAGAGACAGTGTGCAGCTAGTGGGCAACTTCAGGCAATGGCAGAAGCTCATTATACTCCAGAGGCCTGCACGAGGGCAGCATAAAACC